GGGCGGCGAAAGCGAGAGCGATGGGAAAGGCAGCGGCGATAGGCAACACTAGACAACTTTTCCGACTTATCAAGGAAACTGGTATTAGGAATCCTAGTGTAAGTGAGACTATCTCATAAAATGACGGGACTATTATTTATTCTCAATCCAGGAGATTGGATCGATGGGCAGAACACTTTAGGGATCGGTTCAACTGGCCTCGAGCCACTCTTCGGTTACCCACGATCTCCAGTCATCCTGAATGGCAAGTCGACATAAGTCCGCCTAGTCTTAATGACGTTGAGAAAGCGTTAGGAAATCTGAAGCGAGGGCGAGCTGCGGGACCCGATAGACTGACCCCTGAGATATTTAAGGATGGTGGTCCAGTTTTGGCAGCTAGGTTGACGGAGATCTTAGGTAGAATCTGGGAACTGGACGTAATCACATCCGAGTGGTCTCAATCACTGATTGTCCCAATCTATAAGAAAGGACGCAAGTCTTCTTGTGACAATCACAGGGGACTAAGTGTAACTAATATGGTTTCTAAATTGTTGGCCTCGATTATACTTAGACGCATAATTAGTACCCGTGATGAGCAGACTAGAGAAAACCAGGCTGGTTTCAGACCTGGACGTGGATGTATAGACCACATTTTCACACTACGACAGGTCCTGGAACACAGACGCACATTTAGGCGTGCTATAATATTTGTCTTCCTGGACCTTAAGGCGGTATTCGACTCTGTGGATCGTGAGGTTCTGTGGCAGTGTCTGTCATTGAAAGGTGTACCAAAGAAGTACATTAACCTTATACAAGCTCTCTACTCGAACACCACTGGTCGAGTGAGAGCTTATGGCGAACTGTCACCGGAATTCTTCACTTCAAGTGGTGTCCGTCAGGGATGTCCACTTTCTCCATTCTTGTTTAATTTTATCATAGACATGCTCCTAGAAATAACCTTATCCTCGTCTGAATTTTCTGAGTAGACCTTTTACCAGGTGGCTCGCTTATTGACTTAGAATATGCCGATGACATTGTCCTACTTGGTGAAGACGCTGACAAAATGCAGAGTCTTCTGACTACCCTAAGCAACAATGCAAGCATGTTCGGGATGCGGTTTTCACCCTCGAATTGCAAGTTGTCGCTTCAAGTTTGGGTTTCATCGTCACCTGAACTAGTGATAGGAAGTGAAGTAGTCGAACGTGTAGACCGCTTCACTTATCTTGGGAGTCTCATCAGTGCCGATTGCCTGGTGACTGACGAAATCTCAGCACGGATACAGAAGGCTCGATTGGCTTTTGCCAACCTGCGTCACTTATGGCGTAGGTGAGATATCCGTTTGCTGACTAAAGGACGAGTGTACTGTGCAGTAGTTCGCTCCGTCCTACTTTATAGCTGTGAAACATGGCCGTTAAGAGTAGAAGATATTCGTAGGTTACTGGTTTTCGATCATAGGTGTCTTCGAAGCATTGCTCGTATATCGTGGGACACCCGAGTGAGCAACGCTGTTATTAGGAAGCGGGTGCTAGGTAAGAATGGCAGATCAATAGATGAAGTAATGAAACTTCATCAGTTTAGGTGGTTGGGACATGTGTTGCATATGCCTAACACCGACTGCCTCGACGAGCTTTATTTTGTAGTGTAGGAATAGGTTGGAAGAAAGCTATGGGCGGCCAAACCAAAACCTGGCATAAATCCATGAAGTCATTGACGAGTGGACTTAGCCATGTCGGTAATTGTCGACTACCTGGTTGGGGTCCGCGAGATGATAATAGTCGATGGTTAGCGACCTTGAATGACATGGCTCAAAATCGTTCGCAATGGCACCGGTGCATTTATTCTTTGTGTCCTCTCAAATCCTAATCTTCTGGGTTCTTCAACAACTGTAGTTTCGACTTTCTAAACTTATCTCACTGAATCATACTTCTTGAATAATATCTTCTAATCCTAACCTCTCCGGTTACTTCTAATACCTTTACTACCTCTCCTACTAGTGGATTTGAATTGACAATTACATCTCTGTGCTGATGTGGTATGGCAACATGAACTGATGTACTTACGTACGAAGTTCTACGTTGCATCTGACTGACTGACACTGCCCCTGAGATGTTTAAGAATGGTTGTCCAGTTTTAACAGTTATCCTGACTGAGATCTTTGTTGGAATCTGGGGATTGGGCGTTATCTCATTTGACTGTCCCAATTTATAAGAAAGGAAAAAACCTTCTTGTGAAAATAACAGGTGAATAAGTCTAACTGGCTGGCAACGGAACCTGAACTAGTGACAGGATGTAAAGTAGTTGAGCGTGTCGACCGATTCACTTATCTCGGGAGTCTCATGAGTGCTGATGACCCGGTGATTGACAAAATCTCATCACGGATACAGAAAGCTCGATTGGCGCTTGCCAACTTGCGTCACTTACGGTGCAGGTGAGGTATCCGTTTACTAACCAAAGGATGATTGCACTGTACAGCAGTTCGCCCCATCCAACTATATGGCTGAGAAACATAGCCGATGAGAGTAGAGGACTTTCGCAGGTGATTAGTATCCGATTATAGATGTCTTCGAAGCTTTGTCCGAGTATCGTGTGACAATCAAGTAAGCGATGCTACTGTTAGGAAAAGGGTGCTAGGTAAGGATGGCAGGTCAACAGATGGACTGTGATACTCCATCAGTTGAGGTGGTTGAGACATGTGTTACGTATGCCTAACCACCGACGTCTATCAGTTCGGTTGACGCTACTGGTATCCACGGCTTCTCCCCAGACTTATGGTTTACCTTACTAGTAGATATCACTGCCATTCCCAGTCGTTTTGATATCATTCCAAGCTGTTCTTTGAGCCGCGACACCATAACATCCACCTAGGTGTCTTGCATTTTCACTTAGTCTACCTACTTGAGCATTAAAGTCACCAGCCAATACTACTATATCAGAGAGCCTAACATTTTGGAGGAGGTCCGAAGGCCTTCTGTAGAACTCATCTTTCACCTCGTTTGAAGTGCAGTCAGTAGGAGCGTAGGCTAAGATAACTAAGCGGCAACAGCGAGCTCCCCTATCCTTCCGAATCTTTACTGTGCCATTCGGTCGGACAGCGAAAAAGCGACTGAATCTTCAATGGACGCACCTTACGACTGTCACACCCCTCTACAGTCTGCACTATGACTTCGCCCTCAGATCTTGAGGCGTTTTAACTCTTATCGTTCACCAATCGACCTTCAGGAACATATATTGTAGCAATTATCTCTGTTGGTTCATCACGGCAAGCAAGCCCAACCACCACGTAGAGGTATCAGAAAAGATTCGGACAAGCGAGTAAGCGATGTTGCAGGGTAGGAAGCTGGTACTAGGTAGGGATAACAGATTAACTGATGAAGTATTGAACCACTACTTGAAATGGCTGGGACGTGTTACGAACGTCTCACCACCTGCTGCCCTGATTAGCGATCTTCTACAGTGTAGGAGTAGGTTGGACAAAAGATAGAGGCGGTCAAACACAAAACATCGCACAAACAAATGGAGCCACTTAAAAGTGGACTGACTGAGCCATGTTAGTGAGTATAGATCACCTAGTTAGGGCATATGGGACGATTGTAATCAATGGTTAGAGACTTTCAATGACATGGGCCGGAGCTGTTTGCAACGACGCAGTTGCATCTTTGCCATCTTTCCAAAAAGATGCTAAATTCTTCAGGACTACTATTCTCTTTGAAATATTTCGCTGGATTTTTCGAACAATATCTTCGACCCGTGGTCGCATGCGTTACCTCAATACCGCTTCTACCCCTACCACTGTAGGATTTGGATTTACAAATCCACATTATTGTTCTAATGTGGTATGGCAACTTAAAACTGATGCACGTCGGTAACATGCTCGACGTTGTAGCTGACTGACAAACAAATATACACTTGTAACACCACTAGTAATGAGGGCAAGAAAATCCGGTGAAAACTCGACCCACGTGGTTATTTAGAAGAAAGCAGAACATGACAGGAGACTTCTAGTCGAGAACAGAACTCGCTTTCCGTATTGAGCTTAAATGCAACGTAACAGTCATCCCAAACAGTCGACCGCCTGGCATGTATGCACATCGATCTAGGCCGCCGCAGCAAAGACGGAATTATCAGAGTAGTTCAAGGACGTGGTGACACCACTGACAACAGAAAATAGCCGGGCATCAAGGATACGATCCAGTGAGGCGTAAGATTGAAGCCGAAATTTTGCGAGGATTCAGAGGCCTAGAATCTGGAAGAACAGGGATGAATACACAACGGCAAACAACTATAAGTGACACCATGTAGCCCCATACCATTGTTTGTGAGCCCTGCAACCATCGACTTGATGCTTCCCACTTATCGACGCACTCACCAAGTTGGTAATGGGTTTGGACGCCTTTAGTCTGCTTCCAACCTACGTGCAAAACAGTCAGGAGTTAACGGTCCATTTCGAATACCTCATACCGAATCAGGTAAATTATTTGCCACGGACTTTGAGAATGTTAACGTGCTATCTCCTATTCACCACAAATAACAGTAACTTGAAGGAAATCATCAATAGTTTTAATGTCCAGCTTGTCGATTTAGTGCTTCGAAACACAAGCAGATCCCGACTGGCCATACCGACTTCTTCGACACGAGCCTGCAAACGTATCTCCTCAGACCTTACTTCCTTTCTCTTAGGAGTCTTAACAAGAACCATTACACCGCATCGTTTTAGCACAAACACCGTTATCTTAGAAGTCAGCCCCTCCAATGAAACGCTACACTCAATCTGTATCAAAAATCACCACCGAGAGTAGCATAAATTATTACCCTTCATAGAGAGAAGCGGGACTGAATACCGACTACCGAGCTTTGATGCAATTTAGGTATGTACTCTTGAGACAACCTTATCAGCTGCACCGGATGACTTTAGGCAGAACTAAGTGAATACATAAGTACGAAGCGGGATAGCCTTGGCGCCTTCTAAAGAAGACAGGCGAGTTGAAACTACGCCTTCTCAATTCGTTACCCTTAAGCAAAGCCACAGCTCACATCAGAGTATTAGAGAAGCCAATTCATGGAAGTATCACGGTTAAAATCCACGTACATTGGCGTCATGTTATGGAGTTTCATTATCAGTTATAAGCGATATCCACCGTTATTATAAATCAGGAGCTAATTATATTGAAGTATAACAACTCGCCAGCCGATATAAAATCACGGAAAAACGATCAGGTAGTCGACACACACATTGTATGATATGAGAGCAATGATAAATATTACATAATGTAGTTTAGCTGTCATTCCCAACATCCTCTTCAGCTGTTTGGTCACTGGCCCATAACTAGTTGAAGTAATATTAGGAAAACTAAAGTGACATCTTACCGTCAAGTTATCTCTTAAGAGCTGCATAATAAGTGTGCTGTCTTTGTAGGAATCGTCTTGAAGCTGATCTAGTTCTGCTATTGCTGAGTCGAAAGCCTCTTTGGCTAGAGCACATGCACGATGAGCATCATTCTGTATTTCGTAGTAAAACACAGAGAAGTTGAGGGCCAAACCAAGTCTGATAGGATGAGTGGTGGGCAACAATTCTCGGGCAATTTTAGTAGCTTCTTCATAGGCCTCCAATGACTTGCTGACTACCTCATTCCGAGGATCACCAGTGGCAACTTCAGCAAGGTACCGATAGTAGTCACCTTTCATTTTCTTATAGAAAACTTGGCTTTCGCCGTTATTTTGGCATTTAAGTAAATAATCTTCAATTAGGCGCTGAAAACCTTATTAACACTACGAGTATAGCTTACCAAAACCTCGTTACATATTTCGTTTAATTCCTCTTCCATCTTGATGCGGCAGTCTTCAGCGATTTTCTTCTTCTGTGGATCATTTGCTGCTTTCGCTTCACTTCCAGATATCACTCTCCATGCAGATCTTCTGGCACCCACGACATTTTTATAAGCCACCGAAAGTAAATTCCGTTCTTCGTTTCCCAGTTCGCACTTCATTTCAGTATATCGCTTCATAGCTGCTGCCATGTCATCATATCGTTCAGCCTGCTCAGCAAGCCTGGCGATTTGAACTAAATCCTCCTGAGTTATGTCTTTGGATTTCAAAACCCACGAGTCCGGCATGACTACACAACTTCGCAATAGTGTCTTTGACAACTGGTCAAACGTGCGCGTGAAGTTAGTTAATATATAGATGGTGTACCAAACTAGTTCTAAATTTAATAGTTTAAATTCCGGTTTTTTTATCAAAATTTTTAGAAATAATTATTTTTAATTTTAATATTATTCAGAATAGTTTATTATTATGCCTAAATGTTCGCTCATTTTTGTTGCCAAGTATTTGTTTACATAAACAATATTTGATCAGAATTTTATCGAATTTCTAAGTATGATCAAATTAAGTTGTACGTAACGATGACAGGCGGTTTTCCAAAATTTATCGACATACATAAATGTAAAACGGTATTTTGACGTATTTTAGAAAGATTATTCAGTCTGCCGCATATTTAGTCAAGGCGGTATCACTGATACGCTCATGATCAACTGCGTATGCCTTCAGTACGAGCCAAATTACCTGATCTCATTGTCACTTTTTTCAGTACTCAAGTCAAATAAGGTCGTTTTCTCTAAGTTGATATTACTTAAATAATAATAAAATGTGTGTATGTTTTTCCAAGAGTTTACAGGCTTGTCGAAATAAATGGATTCATTATATTAAAGGGCATATTATGCTTTAAGGAAACTACTACACCATAAAAGAATTTGGACAAGAAACTCACTCCTCATAGCTTAGTATCTGGAAAACAAACTGATACCCTCTTACGCTGAATATCAGCTTATCTAAAGACTAGAAATCCAGCTTTAAGGGCCACATGTTTCAACGGTGGAAACAAAGTCTTGAATGAAAGTTTCGCGATAATTTGTTCCTAGTAGATATAATGTTTTAGACAAAGATGAAAATTGTCATGAGTTCTATGTTCGATTGCTTCATTGATTAATGTCTTCGGTTGATGGATTATAAAAATCCATATTATTGCTAACAAAATTATTATTTTGACGATGAGGAAGTTTGTAATACGACAGTAATTTGTGCATTACACGAAAACTAAACTAAACGTTAGTACTTCACATCAGTCGGACTCATCACTATACACCAACCGACTTGATTATAAGAAGACTTTTCAGATTCTTCTCGGAGACCAAGGAGTACCTGAGAAGTTTTTCGCCACCATACGGAGCTCACACAAAGGGTTGAATTGTAGAATCATTCATGAATGGCAGCTCTCAGGTGCACTGCAAGTGGAGACTGTTGTCACACGAGGATGCTTTATTAGCTAGATGAGGAAGACCTTCTCAGCTCAGGAAAAATAGAGTATAATGGATGTCGATATAATTCAGCATTATTCAGCAATGATTCACAGTGTCGCAGTTTGATCAATTTTAATTGAGTTGTGCGAAATCCAGCTTTACGGCCTCTACCATACGCATCCACTGAATCTTCGGTTCGATAGTGTGATACATTTATGGTTTCCACATGAGATCTTTATTTGTAATCTTGATGAGAATTCCCTCTTTCCAGTTTGTTGATATTTTTTGCTTCCTCACAGATTTTTCTGAACCTAACTTGAGCGCTTCAGCTGATATACTGACAAATCTCATTACTTTGCCTCGCATTGTCAGCCATCCATTAAAAAATTCAAAATAGGCTTGGCTTAATTTTCAGTATCTGCACATTTCAAAGTGCAAAGGATAAAGATTACATAGGTAAAAAAAAAGCCTTGAAAGAATTCTTTTGCACTTCCTCTGGAAGTCATTGCGCAAAATGTTTTTTACTTTGCTTCAGTAACATTGATATAAGTTAAGATATTTTTATGTAATGTTAATTACTAGTAGGTATTTCAGAATTAACAACCACTAACGTAAAATAATAATTCTGAGGTACGTACGTAAGTTTGAAGCAGACAATAATAACATTCGTTGTTGTGTAAAATGGCTCCAATAAAAAAAAACAGTTTCCATGATTCATTTATGGAGATAAAGCTAAATATTATATTTACAAGTAAGTAAATGGGGCCTTTTACTTCTAAGATTTAGATAACTTAAACATGGAAGATGGAATTTCTCAATTTTATTCACCATAGAGTAATGCCCAGCTTAGACAATAATATACTTTTTATCGCTTTTTGACCTGATAACCTGTAAACGAAGTTTTGTTACAAGTACTATGCTAGCGGGTCAAGAAACTTTGTATTAACAGTCACTCGTAAGTTGAATATGTTTCATCCTAGTTGATCCCAACAAGTCAAACTGCAGTCTTATTGTTATTACCTCGATTATTTTAGTACGATAGATTATTTACTCCTGTTTGTTTACTGCCCAGACGTTTCTTTTTCAAACCTTAAAAAAAACGTGACAGCACTAGTTCTTTTTTACTTAATACGGTTGCACACTCATCAAGGGATGGGATAATAAGATCTAACTCTGACAGACTATAAAATGTTTTTCATAAGAATTCACTGTATTGCCAAATGATGAATTATCTTCAATTAAACAATTAAATTCCATTTTAGTTTAATCAACAGATGGCTTAATTTTTGATTAATCTCAAGGTTAACAACGACTTCATACCTTACCAAACAACAAACAAAAGATATATTTACATAAATGGCTATACTGATATGAGACTGAGGTTTTTTTTTACCACTAGTATGTTACTATTAACCTTCCACCATTTGATTATGTATGTTTATATGTATAACACTAAAAGTGGTACGTTTGATGAGGAAATATTCAAATTTCATTCATCTGTCTCTGGTTATTCCTGTACAACGTAGTGATATTTATCGGTCCAGTAGGTTCAGGATAAATAAACAACCACTCAGTCAGTCAGTTACAACATAGAACTTCGTACGTACGTACTGTGGTGCGCGCTACTTATAAGTAGTATATGACGCGAGTGAAAACGTAATGTCTGGCAGCAGAAGATGGGGGAAGATCAAGAAAGGAAGAGTGGGAACACAATGGAATTTGTATGAAACGCGTGAATAGTGAAATGTCAGACAATGGATTGATGATGGATTGAAGATTTGCAAATTAACCGTTTACGATATGGTTTTCCTATTTTACTGAGTAACTCTGTAATGTGCGATAATTACAATTCGGTTGCCGTCACCTGTGTTCTCCTTCATTACAGTACATCAGTTCAGGCTGCCCTACCACATTAGCACAGATATGAAATTGTCACTTCAAATCCCATAGTAGTAGAAGTAATAGGAGTATTAGTATTAGGGTTCGTAGGTATTATTCAAGAAGTAGAATCCAGCTAGCTAACTAGAAAAAATCTCACTAGAATTTATCGAAAAAATACTGCTCAAGACTCCGGTCAATGAACATGAACAAAAAACGATAATCGTAAAACTTTAATTCCAAAAAGGACTAAATACTACAAATCAATTATGAAAAGATCAACACTTCACTGAAACAGTAAATCCTGTAGAATGGTTGGTCTTAATCCCGACGAAGCTGCTACCTTGTCGTGGTGGTCAGGCTTGCCTATCGTGATGACCCAACCGAGCTATATTGGCTGAAAAATATGTTCCTGCATGTCCTACCATGCCAGGCAGGTTGACTGGAGAACGATGAGACTAAAAGCAGCTACTCAAGGTCTGAGGGCGAAGCCGTACTGCTGACTGTAGAGGGGTGTGACAGCAGTAAGGTGTTTCCCTCGGACAACCAGCATCTGCAGCGATGCTGCCTTCTCACAAGGAAGGAAGGGTTAGAAAAGGTCGACCCTAAAAATGTCACACCTCACCCTACCTCACGGATTCCCGTCTCCTTGGGTAAAGGTGCCCACTAAAGGCTTTCTAGAGTGGAGCTAATACTCAAAAAACACTTCATAAAAAAGCTGTGCGTGACCGGCCTGAAGCAGTTGTCCCTTGGACTCTGCGGTCACGCTCCCAGGTCGTTAAGACCAACACTCATCTATCTTCCTTCTTAGGTCCGTCAAGAAACAACCTTTGACGGTGTGAGCAGCCGGGAAGTGACAACCACCCTCATACCCGTAATAGCACACGAGACCAACTTTGTCAAAATCAAATCCTTCTTACACCTCCTAATATCTCCACGATTATCTCTTCTCACATTCCTTTATTACACTGCACAGCTAATGTAAACGATGCGAGTTCACGAAACGTCATTTCTTGTCTCCTGAAACCCCATTCTAGACTAAATGTTGGGGCTTTTTGTGTACGGACATTGTATCAAATAGAGCAACAGTCTTCCCTAGCTAGGACATGAGAATCTCGCTCAATTGATGTGTGCAGCGTCTCAGAAACGCGCATGCAAGATTTCAGCTTAACAAAATAATGAATCATCCCGATTTACTCTTCGTGTATCCGATAGCCCTGATGCTGCTTCCCGAGGTCTAGCTGGTGTAGGTATAGTATTGAGTCGTAGGGCAGAACTAGCTCTCCTTGACTGGATCCCAGTAGATAGTCGGTTGTGCGCTGTCCGACTAAATGGGACAGTAAGGACTCGGAAAGATAGGGACAATCGCCGTTGCCTCTTCGTCGTATCTGCCTATGCCCCCACTGACTGCAGTTCAGACGAAGTTAAGTATGAGTTTTACAGAAAGGTTTCGGACCTCCTCCAAAATGTTAGGCTCTCTGATATAGTAATAATGGCTGGTGACTTTAATGCTCAAGTAGGTAGACTGAGTGAAAATGAAAGACACCTAGGTGGATGTTATGGTGTCGTGGCTCAAAGAACAGATAATGGTGACCGTCTGTTGCAACTGTGCTCAGATAACTGCCTCTTCTAGCAAACACTAACTTTAAGCATAAGGAAAAACATCTGTTGACCTGGCGACCTCCAAAGTTGTCGCAACGTTGAACCCTGCTAGACCACATCGCCGTCAGCCACCGGTGGAGGTGTTCGATAGAGGACTGTCCCTCGTTCTGGGGCACATGTTTAGGTTCAGATCATGCTCTAGTGCTAGCTCGTATTTGTTTGAGGCTTACTGGACGTAGGAAAGACACCGCAAGGAAGGCTCTTAGGGTTTTACTTAATGATAATAAGGCGAAAAATATATTTCAGGAACAACTAGAAAGAGAGTTAGGCAACCATGTAAATGATTCCCATGCGGAAGCAGGTTGGAATGAAACCTAAAAGGCTGTGGAAATAGCAGTGATATCTGGTAGTAAGGTAAACCATAAGTCTAGAGAGAAGCC